ATTTCTTTTTTTCAAAATCATTTACATGTTTACTAGAGGAGCCAATTCCTAAAACAACCCATTTTAATTATGACCCGACAGGCACTTCCTAAGTTATAAAATACCTACATTGTACATCATGTTAAATGGTCATAAAATGTTTTTGCATTACACTGTTGATCTCTACTCAAGCCAGTATTGATCTGTATAAGGATAGATACCTTGTACATGTTATTTTATTTGAAAAAAAAGATAAATCATTTTTCCCCTTTGTTTTTCCTAAGTGCAACATTTATGTTTTTGCAAGCTTGTACACTTTTTAAGTGATCTTGTGCACAAATGAGATCCCTGGATTGTCCTAAATGTACTTTTCTCCTGTTTGAAAAGTTGAATTTTTCCTTTTGCTGACAGGTCTGATGACGGCCTTGTAGGAGCTGCAGACCAGCTTCTTTACAGCTGCAGGCAACCATTTAGACGTAATGCAGAAATAAAATGCATTATTTATTAGATGTGCTAGTGTTAAATAGGCCAAAGGTGTTACGCTGCATCTAAGGCTTTTTCAAGTATATAAAAAGAAACATTTGCCAAAAAAAAACTGAACTTCAACAAAACAGATGTTCTGAAGAGTTTGACTGATGCAGTGAGGAAAGCACTGAGTATGTTACCAGTTTTACCAAAACTGGTACCAGACCATGCTGATATAAAAATTTACCAGCTACACTGACAGAGTTAATAAAGCTGCGTCATGAGACATTGCTCCCATTCATTAGCTCCATTACAGAGCGCTGAATCTGCAGTCAGATGAGCACGGTAATTGCCTAAATGAGACATTTTAAACTCAGCGGACTCACCGCAGTACTCATCCATGCCCTCACACACCATTTCACATCTAGATTTATGGACAATTACTTTATTTTCATACTCAAACACATACTTTTAAACCCCTAACTCCATTCTCCTTGGATTAGTTTGACATGTATCAGCTCACTGTTTAATAATGATATGTGAAACAGGCTTGAAATAAATCTTATAAAGCTACATTTTACCTTAAGGAAACAATGGTCTACCACCAATACTGTTACTATATATTTAAAGAAAGTGTAAAGAAGTCTGTATCCAACCCTTTTTTTTAAATCACATGCATACAGTGATGTGAAAATTGTTTGCCCCCTTACAGATTTCACTTTCAATTTTCACTTGTTTCAGATCAGCAAACAAATATAGTATCAAAGATAACTTGAGTAAATACAAAATGCAGTTTTCAGCTTAAAATAGATTTTGTTAAGGAAACAGAAAGCTATTGGAATCTATGTGAAGAAGTAAAACCTTCCTAGTTAAATCATGAAGTAATTGAATTATTTTAGAAATTATTTTAATGAGACCACACTCTGGCTTGATGACCGTTTGCTTGTTTGTTTTTTTAATATTATTATTTATAACTGGTTGCCATTTTCTTATGAAATTTAGTAGACTGTCCATATGGGTCTGAAAAAAAATAACTAAAACTGTTGTCATGTTATGAGTTAGCTAAATAGAGAACCACAGATAGACAATACGTTACATTTTGTTGGTATTTAGGGGGAAAATAAAACTGTCTATAAAATCGTAGTAAATCATTACAGCTTTGAAAAAAATCAAGATTTTAATAAGCAACCATGGCTTCTAATCAAATCAACTTGATGGAGCACCTGTACGTGTCACCACCCCAATAAGGACAGACCCTGAGGGTGATCTATCATTACTGCATGAAATGCATCTCAAGCTGTTTATCTCACGTTATTATGAAGACCAGAAGAATAATATCTTGCTCTGGTAGGTAAACATTACAAAGAAAATCATTATTTACTTCATCAATTGGCTTTTAATATTATTCTATTTTCTTTCACTCCYTGGCACTTGCAGGACTTTGTTTATAACAAAGTTATTCCATTATGAAGTAACCCAGCCCAAACTAAGCTTTCTTAGCACAAACTAACATTTTTCTTTTCACATCTTGTCAAATAAAAAATATATATTATTTTTCCTTTGGATATGTTGTTTGTTGCACAAGATTTGGCAAGCTTCAGAGGGCAAGACCAAATATATTTTGGAACGTAAGTCAAGCAGGCTTTGTGGACTTTCCCAAATAAAAACCACAGCCTTTAAAAAATATCCAAACATTTAAATGTTACTAAATCTCGCTGCAGGCCATGCATAATTAACAATTGTTTTGAAAGAGTTTGCCCACTCACTCCAAGCCTGTTGCAGTTTAAAAAAATAACATTGCTGGTGTGTTTTGTTAAATCCATCTGAGATTTGATTTTTTTCCCTAAACTCCTTATTAATTTTAATGTCCGCCTGCAGTTTTAAAGGCACTACTGTTGTCTCACAATTGGGTCTGAATTATTTTTTTTCTTGAAAAACTAAAGTGGTAGAGCAAGGAGCTGAGTAAACAGAGTTGCAACATCCCTCCCACTACTGCACCCTTTCTTTGGACACTGTACTGATGTTAATGACCCTTCACTGACATTTTTGTCTTTGGTATCACAAAGAAAAAAAAATTAACATTTGCATGTTTTAATCACATTATCTAGAAATTTGTAAAGCTGTGAAAAACAAAGTTTGAGCAGAAAAGTTATTACAAAACAACTATATTCCTTTCTCCAAAATTCATGATATCAAAGTCTAACATATGTCAACTTATATTTCAAAAGTTCAGTTTTGAAAATGTTTTTCACATTTTCCATCTACGTAAGGATTAAATGAGAAGAAAATCTAAGCCACTTTTCAATCAGTCCATTAAACAAGAAGCAACACCCTACAGCATCTCAGTGTGAAATGAAGAAACAGCTAACCCAGCTCTGTCCGAAGTTAAATTCTGCTCGTCAGCACCTCAAAGGCTCAATAAAAAACAGTTGTTCTCATCTTTTCTTTACTTTGCTCTCACACACTGGAGATTTGGGTCATTTCCTCAGAAGCCATGATTGGACTTCATCAATGACACTGTTGGAAAAGACTGGATGGACAATTAATTAWTGTGGGCCAAATTACTTAGAACTGGCTAAAAGCAAAAAGGGCACAATCTGTTTAACATAACCTGTGAGAGAGTCATGTTTCACACATGAATGGTTTTAAGGCTGTGATGTCCAGATTAAGATATTTAAAACAGCTCAGTGCATAAAGTTGTCTGAAAAGTGTAAAGGAACCAAACCCTGCTCATGTGGTGGAACAGCAGACTTATTGCATCCATCCATCACATAACACTCAAGTCAAAGTTATCATTCAAGTAAAACTAAAAGATAAGATTAATTAAAAGTTCATCTTTTTGCCCAAACATGTCTGACCCAAAACAGCCAATCACAAACCCATTATAATAGATGCCATCACCTAATGATGATAAATCATTGTATTGACTTATTTTCTTATGAGTATTTTGCCTTTCTGTTTGGTAGAGCCTGTAGGCTTCACTGATCTGGGCCCGTGTTTATAAAACTTCTTAGAATTACTCTTAAGAATGCTGCTAAGAGTGGACTTAAGTGTAAAAAAATTCTTAGTTAAAATCTGAGAGTAAAAGTCAGTTATCAAGCGTCTCAGTCTCACTTTAAGTGAAGCGTAGGAGTAATTCTTAAGTGTCAGTCTTAGAGCTGATTTGCGACACCTGGCTGTGCCACAAAGCTGATCCTGGATGACGTCGTTAGAAAAAACACCAGCATGGACCAATCACTGCCTCGGATTTCATGTTCAAGAATATTGTTGGAGAAATGTCAAGATAAAACTGTGAAAATCATAAGATAAGTTCACTTTCAACACACTAATGTCACCATGTACTGTCTGTAGAATTACATAAAATGTTCTCATTTCATCAAGAAAACATTTTTTTAATCAAAAACTCAGCAGCTTTAAAGTTTTTTGTCTCAGAACCTGAGGTCATGTTGAGCTGCTCCCTCCTCCTCTTCGTCACCGTCAGACAACACCAGCTTCACACACACATACACACACACAACCCCGCTCCGTCATTAACAGCTCGGTCCGAGAGGAGCGCCCCCACCCCTCTTCATTGTATTGTATTGCGTGATTGTTAACATAATAAATGAAAGTTCAATCCCACCATAATTTTTATTTTTATTTTTTATTTTTTTTTGGGGGGGGGGGTGTCACAGCATGCACTCACCAGCTGAGTATATTTAATATTTTAATCAAAAGCCACACACAGATATCTGCCTTTTAGTCCAACATTATGTGCAGTTTTAATTATTTAATTTTTTTTWACTTTTCTTTCTTTTGTATTTCTGATTAAACCTGTTTTCCACATCTTATAACTGTGAATAACACTCAGGTGGGGAGGAGGACAGCTGTGATCTCTGTCTTCAGTTCATCTCTGATCCCTAGTGGCAACTCTTAACCACTTAAGAGTCCTCTGGAGCAGTCTTAACTTTTCTTGAGAGTAAGAGTGATTCTTAGACTTAAATTTTTTCATAACTGGCACTCACACTTAAGTCTGAGAGTAGGAGCAAATCTAAGAAATTTTCAGCACTTAAGTCTAAAATCCACTCTAAGAAGTTTTATAAATACGGGCCCTGAGCTCATACAACTCATTTTTGAGTAAAAGAGAGAAAAAAAAGAAGCCAAGCTATATCTCCTGTCTAAATGAAATGTAACAGYGCTCACAGCAGGACCCTCTTCATCATCAATGGATTGTTCGACATCAGTTTCTCTTAGTTCAGATCGTATTCTGTTTTGTCTTCAACTTCTGACTCTTTCGACTTTACAGCATATTTCAAGTGTCTGGCATTTTCTTGTCATCCGTGTTACGATTCAAGTTGTGATCAAGGGTCTCAGTAACAGTATATCRTTGGTCGTTTGCTGCCACAGATTGAGTTGTGAGCCTCAAAAACCAACTTTTTTATACCATTTTTTTAACCAATGTTGTGATTGTTTGTGAGAATGTCAACAGATTTTTTTTTTTTTGTGGTGAAAAGATTCTTTTAAGGAAATATTCTCAGCACTAACTAATAATAATGATAAAAGAGAAGGTACTTTACCATTGGGGCTTTCTTCATCAATGGCCACGATGGTAGCAGGAGGACCAGAGCGAGAAAGTTTACATTCTGAAAACATAGAAAAGAACAATAAATTTACAATGATGTGAGAGTTTTCCTTCCTCACATATAGTTTGTTGAAAAACAAAGCTAAATATGAAACTTCACTGTGAAGCCCGGGGTTGATATTACTTAATAAACACTTTGTATTTATGAGGAAAGTGATTTCAGAACGTCCTGAGGTGTGATGAGTACGCAAATGCTGCAAGAACAGCAGCTATAAATGCATAAAGATAAATAAAGCATGAGCTTTGCAGATATAGTCTATAGTTTATTAACCTCATTCTTCTCTCTTCACTGAGGGGGAATAGATTGGGTAAGAAAAGACACATGGATTTTATAAGCGGAATGTAATGTTGTGTAAAACRAGGTGAGGTAAGGGAAACAAGAACTGACAGTAAAAAATAGATTAAAGCCCATTTTTTAAAGAACAGACTTAATCCTCAGAAGCCATCTCTGCATGGTCAGCAGGGATAAATAAACGAGCACAGAAACTGAACACATTTAACAGAAGAAGGAAAAAGGAAATCTTTCTTACCCTCATAGTACCAATCTGCAGTTAAAGACAGCCACACCAAGTCAGGGTGAAGGAGAAAGGCAGCAGTCAAGGAAGAATAGGAAGAAGGAAAGATATTGAAGCTATTAATAAATATCCACACATTACAAGGACAAAGTGATAACATACAAAGCAGTGTTATAGGAATGTTGTTTTTTTTTTTCAATTAAGTTCTGTGGAAACGTTATGAACTTGACAGCTCTTTGATTAACCTCAGTTTGGAAAATATTTACAAATTCTGACTTTATTAAGGAGTGAACAGCGTTTAGTGATGTGATTGATACTGAAATATCAACCCCACATATCCTAATACTTCATGCTCTAAATACTAAAATCAAAATATTGATACTTTGATACTTCAGTCCTTTCAGGTAATGTATATCAAGATCTTGTCTAAATAGTATGCAGTTGGAGGGAACGACTTTTTCTTCTGTCTGGGTGAGCAAGTTATCAGTCACTCAGTCTGTAGACGTTAAATGTTCAGTATGTTCATGTTAATATGTTCATGTAGTACAATTTAAGACTCTTTTTCCTTTTTACAGTAGTTCTTGTTAATCAAACAATATTTATTTATTTATTTATTTAATGTTTTTTTTAAATTTTTTTTATTGTTTAAAACACCATTTTCACATATTTTTTTTATTCTCTGTTTGGTTTTATAAAATAGCTTTAGATTTACTTGACACATTAGATGATTTTGCACAAAGTATCAGTATCGGTGGTGCCAGACTGAATTTCACTTGGTATCAGAATCAGAGAGAAGGGTGTCTCTGCAATCACCAAGTAGGAGTTTCTAGTTTTGTGGGAGGAGTTTGTTAAAGATGTGATTGGTTGTACTGACTATTTTGGGTGGGGTTTGAAAAAGGAAGGTGCTAGCTGCGCAGAATTTGAATGCTGTACATGTGATGGGACATGTAATAATTGGTTTGGTCAAAAAAGCCCCAACTAGCCTGTAAAATGCTTGCTAAAAATACATATGAATTAATATTAGTCATAACTTGAGATAGGAAGAAGAAATATCAAGTCAATAAATAATGTTTACATGTTCACAATAAGTTTATTATTTCCATTACCTCCTCTGTTAAACTATCTACATAACTCAATCCGACTACGGTAATCATAATTTTGCCAAGCTCTGCCCACACCCAACCTCCACCTATTGTCCAAACTCCGGTAATCACGGTTAGAAAAAACTCCACCCACTTCAAGAACTCTGCCAATCACGTTCATACCAAACCCCACCCACACAAAGAATTTCCCCAATCAGGGTTAGGACGAACTCCTCCCACACAACAAGAAACTCCCCCTATGTGCTGCAGACACTGCAGATCAATGGTATGAAACATTACTAGTCAGAATAGGGCTACAAAATAAATTGTTCCCTCACACAAAAGTGATGTTTTTGGGAAAAACTCATTTCATAAACCTRGAAAATGACTTCAACTGAAGCCTAGCCTGAAGAAAGACCTCTGCGCTTTTCTTCATACTGCACGCTCAGTGACCGATGTCTCTGCTGATAAACGTACTAACTCTACCTAATAGACAACAATATTACTTTAATAGCATTATAATCTGTTCAAGTGCAACAATGCCCACTTACCACAACTTATTATCAGAGAAAAAACATATTGACCTTGGCTTGAAGCTTAAAATAATTACATTCTTAGCAAAAAAAAAAAGTGTGCCAACACTCAAGCGTTCCCCTTTATTCCCATGTCCTTGCCAGGATAAGTGAAAACAGGCCCCTGACATTAAACCATCAGACTRACATTGTACTACAGCTCTGGATGATAGCTGGGAAAATCCCAAAGGAGGCCTGGGAGATGGATATCTGATCACAGAGAAAATAGACTTTATGGAACAATGATTCCACTTTCTTTTCCTCAAACTCTGCCAGTCTCTCTTGTCCTCTCCATTATAATACATTACTGTGTGACAGAGGATTTCAGCATTCATCTGTGTTGCTCAATGCTTTCAGCAGATGAAGCAGGTCTTATAAAAAAGATTTATCTGTCCCAGGGCTCTATATTAACATATATTAATGCTGAAAATGATTTATTTTGTAGTCAGTCATGCAGAAACAAAGACAAGGAATGTTTTTTCCTTTTTTTCACATATTTTAATCTGACCTTTTAAACCAAGCTAAAAGTTGTTACAGTTTACAATTTGCTCTGCTGTCTGGCTGTGACATGGTGCATTAATCATGCATGGTGATGCAAGACAATGCCACAGTTCTCCTGTAAGTTTTACTTCTTCAAGATTCTTGTTCACGTTGTTGAGAAAGCCATGAGGATTGTTGCCACCACCTTTGTTTAGTTTTACATAGATCTGCACAATWAAATTAGTTGAGGTTGTAAGAATCTCTTCCTTTATTTTATTTAACCAAACACAAAGATTTGCCMACAGATGCCATTCTGTTTGAGAGCTATGCATCAATATAAAAAAACTGGGCAAATTCTTATTTCCAGGATCACTGACGTCTAAGCAAGCCATCAAACCCATATTACAATCACCACCTGTCAAMTGCACAACAGCAGACAATATGATTAGTTTAAATCAGATGATTAAAACCTTGTGCYGGATGAGCATTTAGAAATTGTCAGAAAGTAACATGAAGATGGCARTTTTTCGAAATGATGCAAATTGACATGTAATGGCAATTGGATTGATGGAATGCCATCAAAATGGGATATCAACGTCTGATTTATAAATATCTGTTAGGATTTAGGTGAAAACCAAAGAGGTTCTATAGAACAGCTGGAGTGCTCAGAAACCATGTGACCGTGTGATCGGCTGGAGAAGCTAACGGCTAACGCAAAACAGTCAAGAGTCTGGATTTCCCATTACTGTACATGTTGACAACAGAGCAGAAA